AGTGTTAGTACTGATACTGACAGTTTAATACTCAACTAGGTTAATAAAGACAAAACTCTCTAGTGTATTTACAGATGAAACTGACCTGCACTTGAAGCCCTGAACAGGTCAGTGATGTTGCTACATTTCACTGCTTTTTCTGGCCGCTTCATCTCTTTCATCGAGTCCTGCGCATCGGTTCTGTTCGGAATCGTTTGACGGAAGCGCAGATCAGACATGAGCTGATTCGTATAGTGCAGCGCTGCCAGTCAAGAGTAACCGATTTATTATCGAATGAAAAAATCGGAAATTATCACTTTGGTACATTGAGAAGGCATAAATATAAAATAATAAAAATAATAACTGCAAAAAAAACAAAAAAACAGTGCAGCGGGCCAAATCAGCCGCCAGGCCACCGGGAATTCTCCCGGTGCTCCCGATGGCCAGTCCGGGCCCGCTCAATACTCCTATAAGCCTGCAGCCCTGCACCATTTATTTCTTTGGTGTAGTGCAGTCTCTGAATTTTATGGGAATTAAAAGTGACACTTTTCCCCCCTTTTTTCAGTCTCTGAAGGCCACACGGAACTTTTCTGTGTCGGATTGGAGTAAGAACTTTGAAGTTGTGTTCCAGGATGAGGAAGGTTGGTTTACCGATTGATGCTATTAGCTTTAATAATTATTCTTACGCATTTCACAAAACCTGTCAAGAGCATAATTACATAAAAGAAAATTACATAAATTACATAAAATAAAATGAAATAAAAAAATAAAATAAAGCATATTTTTTAACCATTAAGATTTGTTTTCATAGTGACATTTCATGACTTTTTTTAACCATTAATAAACCCATAATCATATTTAAAGATTGATTTGTTCTATGTGTTTGGGTGTGTTTATTAGCTCTGGACTGGGGTGGGCCACGGCGTGAGTGGTTTGAGCTTATCTGTAAGGCTCTGTTTGATACAAATAACCAGCTTTTCACACGCTTTAGTGACAACAACCAAGGTTTGGTAAGTCATAGTTGTACAAAACAGCTTTTTATGCTGCTTGATATTGCAAACTGGTATTTCTTATCATATTATTTTAATGTATTATTGTAATTATAAACACTCTGGTTTGTAGCGCAAATAGTTTTTATTGTATTTACTGCATTTTGCTATTTTTCTAGTTATTTACCTAAAGCAACTAATTAATTGGAAGTCTTGCACATTCACAGAAAATAGCTTATTATAACGTTGCAAAGTAAGGTGGATAAAGAGTTCTGTACAATTGTCTGTGTATATTACGCTGGGATATGAAAGTATTTTAAAGGGGATAAAATTACACTCATCACCTTTAAATAAACTGTCGTGATATACACATTTACTTTTTAATGTTGATGTTGGTCAAGAGTTGATATGGAATGAGCTGTTCTATGTTTTTTGGGCAGGTCCACCCAAACGCTGATCGCCCCCCTCACCTGAGGGTGAAAATGTATGAGTTTGCAGGACGAGTGGTGGGGAAATGTCTGTATGAATCAGCTTTAGGTGGGGCCTACAAGCAGCTGGTACGAGCCCGATTTACCCGCTCCTTCTTGGCTCAGATAATTGGATTACGAATGAACTATAAGGTGACAATTGATTCATAGCCTGCTAATAAATGTAAATTTTAACCTGTACTGATATAGTTTATGCCTCCTTTACAAATGAACACTTATTTTATGAGTAGTCATATCTCCTCTCTTTGGGTACAAATTTTGCAAAGCATACCTGTAAACTTGTCACATTTGAAAAAGACCATTTACATGATTCATGCAAATCCAATGAGATTTTATTTGGGGGATCTTTCTGTTCATAGCAATTATATATGACAAACAAAAACTCTTTTTTTTAGGCTGAAATGTGAGGTTTATCTAAACACAGTAAACATAGTAAGTATATAGTTCTACAGTGGGTACGGAAAGTATTCAGACCCCCTTAAATTTTTCACTCTTTGTTATATTGCAGCCATTTGCTAAAATCATTTAAGTTAATTTTTTTTCCTCATTAATGTACACACAGCACCCCATATTGACAGAAAAACACAGAATTGTTGACATTTTTGCAGATTTATTAAAAAAGAAAAACTAAAACAGAGCCCCAGTAAACGTTTTTTTTTCAGTCTGGAGTTTGCAAGTATGCAAATACTCTTACTTTCCTTGAATGAAATTATATGAGTGTTTGTTTATTTTTTGTTTTTCTTTGCTTTGGCAGTACTTTGAAACTGATGATGAGGAATTTTACAAAACCAAGGTGTGCTTTATTCTTAACAACGATGTCAGTGAAATGGACCTGCTGTTTGCAGAAGAAAAATATAGCAAGTCAGGACAACTGGAAAAGGTAGTCATCATTAATTCAATGAAAAACGAATAAAAAAATTAATCTATTCATTTTAATCTTGATTCCAAATACAATAATACAGTTAAGTGCATGTTTGTATGAAAGTGGTCTTAAGGCAGGGGTGTCCAATCCTGTTCCTGAAAGGCCAACGTCCTGCAGAGTTTAGCTTCAACTGGCTCCAACACACCTGCCTGGAAATTTCTAGTGGGTCTAAAGACCTTGATTAGCTGGTCCAGGTGTTTTTAATTATGGTTGGAGCATATATAGGACAGTGGCTTCCAGGAGCAGGTTTGGACACCCCTGCCTGAAGGATTATTTGAAGGTACAGGTGAATTTTTGTTGTACACTTTCACTAATAGTAATAATATTACAGGTGGTGGAACTGATATCTGGTGGTGCTCAAATTGCAGTGACAAATGAGAATAAAATTCACTACTTAAACCTGTTGGCCCAGTACAGACTAGCCAGTCAGGTGCGAGATGAAGTAGAACACTTTCTAAAAGGTAAGAGCCCAAGTTTCTGTCTCTTTATTTAAACTTCTGTACGAAATCTCCTTAACCAAATTAACTGAATGACCTCTTCTGTTCAGGTTTGAATGAACTTGTCCCTGAAAACCTTCTGGCCATATTTGATGAGAATGAATTGGAGGTGAGAAATTACATTAAATTGTAGATATACAGCAAATTAGAAGAATTGAAAATCATTCAATAAAGGAAGTTTATTAACAATGCTCCCTTAAATATAGTTAAGGATTTCCAGAAAAAAGACCACATAACAATAGTTTTCATAGTTGAACCCCTTTATCTGAGCACAGTTCAGTTTACATACCTTGGTTATATAAATCCACATATTAAACATATCTTTGGATTTCAGACCAGTTTGATGAGCTGTTCCATAAACATCCCCAGGCTGATACTTTCTTGAGGGAACAATTTTTTCTTTCTTTTTTTTTTTTCAGACCCTTTTAGCAGCTTGCCCCCCCCCCCCCCCCCCCCC